CATAGCAGAGGTTTCTGACCCGCCAAAATTAGTCTGTCTTAGAAGGTACTGGAAGAAGCAGCAAGAAGCCTTCCGGCTGTCAGTGTGAATGGTTTCAAACCCGGAGTATCTTTTTGGGACATTGTTATCTGGGGTCTAATAACTGGGCTAGATGATCTTGAAGGTCTCTTCCAACCCTCATGATTCTGTTATGACAGTTCGGTGGTGCTGCTGTACCTCTTGCAGCAATTCCTTGCCTTCCCTTACCCCCCGCCTTGAATTGCCTTGAGTACGAGCAGGAAAGGTAGGCAAGACAAAGGAGGGGAAGGCAGGGAAAGGCATGGGGGAAGGGAGGGATAGGGAAGGCACGACCCTCGACGGAAAACGTGAGCGCTGCCCGCGGGTCGCCGAGGCCCGTCCGGGGTGGAGCGGAGCGGGAGGGCGGTGCTGTGACCCCTCGGACGGCAGTCCAGGCGGAGCGCAGCGGCGGGAACCGCGGGACGAGCGGCGACGATGCAGGCGAGGGTGAGCGCCGGCGGGGCGGCCCGGGGACCGCGGCGGGCGGGAAGAGCGGGGTGCGGGCACAGCTCACCCCGGGGAGACCCTTCCCGGGGGAACGGAGCCCCCGAGCCCCGGCTGGGAGCTCAGGGGGGACGACGCCAGTCCCAGTCCCAGAGTGACCGCGTCCCGCACCTTCCCCCGGGGGCAGCCGGTGCGGGCGGGGAGCGGGGCAGCCCCGTTATCACCGCGTGCTGGGGGGATGGAGAGCGGGTCCTGCCTCTCCCCGCAGCCCCCCGGGCCGGGACAGGGGGGTCCCTGTGCTGGGACGCCTGGCGGGAGCCACAGAGCCGGGCCACGAAGCTCCCCGCGGGGTAGCGGGGCTGGTCGTTCATCCGCCTTTCACCGCGTGTCGCGCCGGTGTGGGTCCTCACCCTCATCCGAAGGTGGTTTCTGGTCTTCAGGAAAGGTGAAACCCCTTGGACAGGGAGAGGTGCCGCGACCTGGTGGCATTCACCGTTAGCAAGTGATCCTTTCCATCAATCCTTTCCCATTATATATCTGATAAAGGCCAGTTCCTAATGCTAGTAAGAGATCATTGAGTTTATTCTGGTTGCTGGGTAAACAGCATCCCTGCTGTTTAATACCAGTCACATCTGTCCTTGATGGTTTTGGGCAGGTGAGGGGCCATCCGTGACGGTGTAGGATGTAGACAGGAACGGTGAGCAGACGGGTTTAATTGAAATATTACCCTGCTTTGATAATTCCACTCGTTTGAGGGACCGTGAAGGATTAAATAGCACTTGTTGCTTGCTGAAATATTTGTGGCATAGGGTCCAGTCTAATCAGGAACCTGGGAAGAGCATTGTGAGGTTTAAGTTAGTTTTTGTTGTGCCAATATATATTAGCCCACTTACCCTCCACCACTACTTCCCTTTCATATTTTGTTTTAATATTGGAAACTGAGCAAGTACATTTCCCATTCTTTGCTTGGAGGTTGTGTTTCACATATTATGGTTATATTACCCTCCGCCAAATTCATGCTATTAGGGGGAGCTCCTAAAAAGTAAAATAATACAAGTCTGGGTGGGATTGGCCCAGAGAGGTTACCCCATTAAAAAGAAGGGGAAATCCTATGTTTTGTACCACTGCTGTCAGGAGTTTCCCAAGCAAGTGGGCCACAAGGTTTAGTCAGGCTCAGGGGCGCCGTTCCAATTTGGGGTAATTTTATCATAACACGTTGTCCTGGCTGCAATGCTGTCAGATGTTCCCCTTTAATGGAAGGAGGAGCACCTGATGCAGGTTTTGGAAAGATGGCTCAGCTCCCAGGGCTCCCTGCGACTCCACACCGATGATTTAGTTGCTGGAGTGCTCTGGAAAGTCGAAATCCTGCGCTCGGTCGCATGTAGCTTAAGGCTCTTTTTCAATAGCGCGTTGGCCCTTTCTGTGATTCCATTTGACTGGGGGCAATATGGGATGTAGGATATCCACTGAATTCCTTTCCTGAATTCATCCCGCTCCTGGCCTGTCCGTGTACCTCTTTCCATGAGAAATGTGAGCCATTATCACTCGGGATGGAATCGGGAGACCTGATAACCAAGATGACAGTGCCCACCCTGGCCTTTTGGGTACCACAAGCAGGCCAGAGACTCCTCCTCCTGAGAGGGTGTATTGTGTCCTGCAGAGGGCCTGAGTGGCCCCATGGAATCCAGATCTAGGGTGATATAATAGTAATGCTAATCTACACTGAGGACATTCTGCAAGAACAGTTTCACAAGTTTTCCAGTTTTCCTGTTTAGGGGCCACTGATGCCCAAAAAGGCAGATAAAAAGAAAACTGTTTAAAGGCAGAATTTTGAGCCCATAAACAGCAGGTATTTATTTGCGACATCGGGGCAGCTTCCAGCTCAGGCTGGACAAAAAGCTCCGAAGTGGTTCAGTAAAAACAAGCAATTTATGCAGTTTCTAATCGTGATTACAACATAATCATATGCATATTCATATAATTGCATTATTAGATTACAATATTCATAGCAGGTGGAGTCGGGGCGGAGATTGAGGCGTGGTCTCTATTTTGAGGAATATTATGGTGGGAGTTCCTGCCTGCCTTCATCCTGGGGTCTGCATTTTACTCATCTTCCTCGGGTGACATCCGGGACCTTTTGTTCTATCCATTGTTCTCGTGTCCTGATCGTCCAGGCTTGAGGAAACCCTTGGCTCTAGGCCTACTTTACCTATTCAAATGTCTACCTTGGCTCCTCTGGATGAGATTGATGTGTGTTGAGTTCTTTGTCTGGTGTTTGTTGTGGTTCCTTTAAGGTCTAATGCCCTTAGTACAGGACACAGCCTTACAGCTTACAGTAAACGAAATACAGGGGGTAAGGGGGGCTCTTATGGGTTTACAGTAAAAGTGTTTCCATTAACCCTTCCTGTTTCACCACCCTTTGCTCTGTGCAGCAAAATAAATGGCTTCTTCATCAGTGTGACCAAGTTTCTGATGTAAACATTCTCCCAGTTGATGCCATTTCTGATTTAGGGAGTCTTCTGTCTTTATCTCCCTGATTTTAGTTAATCCACCAACCCTTTGATTCCAGTTTATGGCTGGTTTGTTATCCTTGGCGTGGGATTTAACCCATCCTATCTTGAACAGTGTTTTCCTGGCTATATTCGAAAGTAATTGCCAGTTTTAATTCCCAATTTAGGGATTCCCATTGGCAGAGCCACTGTGTGGCACCAGCCCAAACAGCACAGGAGCCCACAGAGGTCGTCTTTGCTCCATTCTGATGTTAGAAAAGCTACTCTTAACCCTCCTACTCCTACCTTCACCTTCTTCTCTTGTTTGTTTGTGTTGATGTTTAGTGAAACAGCCTTGTATTGTCATTTACCCTTTTTGCTCAGGCATCAGTGAACCAAATATTTCTGTTGGCCTCCCCTCAGTGAGGGGAGGTGCACCTGAAACTGGTGAGGATTTAGCAGGTTGTTGTAATGCCAGTGGATGTGCATTTATAGCCATTTGTAATTTAGAAACTTTAGGAGGTCCTTCTGTTAATTCCATTCCTTCTGCAACTGCCATTAGGTAGGAATTCCATTTCCTGACTGTAGAGTTTTGTGCAACTCCTTCCAGGGGAGCAGAGCCCTTTAAAATATATTCCAGCCAGTTAAATTGTCCTCTGGTTTGTACAGGCTGTTCCTGGTATATTTTTCTAAGCTTGTTTCCCTGCTTGGACTAGAGCAGAAGGTCTCTTTTTCCATCAGAATATCTCTGAATTTAGGATTTAGACTTATTCCATGCTTTTGTAAATAGTCAGTGACATCACTTACCATCCAGCTATCTGTTTGTTGTGAATAAGTGTTTTAAGGTTGCTTAAAGAATCACTAGGAAAGGTTCTGGCAAAGACAGGTTTGATGTAATCTAAATTTAATATAAAACAGCACGACAAAGTTCTTTGGCAACATTCATTCTGCTACTTACCAGGTGGTTAAAGGACACCAAGAAAAAGCAAACAAAAATTCAAAATCAATCAATCCAAACCAAAATAACCCCAAAAATTATCTATGTGGAGCCTGAGTATAGGGAGAAAATGATAGAAAAGGGTAAGGATGAAAAGGAATGTGGAGGACCCTGCTGTTGAGTCCCAAGATTTAAAGTAGGCCCCTGTGGTCCAGGAGAGCTCAAAGGGTCTCACTTTGGACCACTGTTTATAGGGTCAACAGAAAATGGGCTTTAGTCATAGGAATTTTCCAGTTTGGCCCCAATTCAGGTCGCTATCCTTCTTTGGAAGTTTGATAACAAAAATATTATTCCATTTCAGTTTTTACTGAGGCAAGAAAAAAATGTTTCCAAGTTTCCAAGGCTGTTTGTTAGACAGCCCCAGTTCCTGGGAACAGTCAGTGTTTCTGATAAGCTCAAAAGGAGCTTATCCCAGGTGCTGTTTGTCAAGGCCAAGGCCTAATGAACATTTCTCAGACCATAGTGTGTCGTAGTGTGGTGTCTCCTTAATGTTCTCAGAAGCCTGAGGGGATGTTGGTAGAAGAGAGTTGGCTTTCTGGGGTCCCAGTCTGCCTGGGATTTCGCAGAAACACAGAATCATGGAATGGTTTGCATTGGAAGGGACCTTAAAGCTCATCTCATTCCACCCCCTCCCAAGGGCAGGGACACCTTCCACTAGCCCAGGTTGCTCCAAGCCCTGTCAAACCTGTCTTTGAACACTTCCAGGGCTGGGGCACCCACAGCTTCTCTGCGCAACCTGTGCCAAGACCTCCCCACCCTCACAGGGAAGAATTTCTTCCTAATATCCAATGTAACCTACTCTCTTTCAGTTTTAATCTGCTATGATACAGTGGGTTACCTCGGCTCTGTGCACCAGCCCCCTCTTGCAGCACCAGCTGCTCCCTGTGTGGCTTCCCAAGCCCTTGCAGGGCTGGAGGGAGCTGTTGGTGACCTTGGGGTCTAACGAAGTTGCTGGACTGACTCCTGCGGAGCGGGCTGGGACAGTGAGCAGAGGGGTTCGTTTTCTCCACCACATGCTGGCAGGCGCCAGGCTGGCTGGTTCCCTCCTGGGCTTGCCGTGCTCCCAGCTGGGAGGCTGGAAACATTTCACTTCTCACACTCACCTCCCTCCTCAGAAGTGGGCCAGCAGCATCAACGAGGACAGCAAGACGTCCCTGCTCGCCTGGGAGAAGGAGACGGGCGTCAAGCTGGTGCAGATCAATGGGCAGAGGCGCTACGGGGGACCCCCCCCAGGTACGTGAGGGGGCAGCTGGCACCCCGTGGGCACGGCAGCTCTGCTCACGGGGTGCCCCCCGGCTGTGTGCCCGCAGGCTGGGTAGGTCCCCCGCCGCCCGTCGGCACCGAGGTGTACATCGGGAAGCTGCCGCAGGACCTGTACGAGGACGTCCTGATCCCGCTCTTCCAGAGCGTGGGGAAGCTCTACGAGTTCCGCCTCATGATGACCTTCAGCGGGCTCAACCGGGGCTTCGCCTACGCCCGCTACAGCAACTACCGCGGCGCCAGAAACGCCATCGCCACCTTCAACAACTACGAGGTGCGCCAGGGCTGGGCCATCATGGTGTGCCGGAGCACGCAGAAGCGCGAGCTGAGCGTGGACGGCCTGGACACCTCGGTGAGCCAGCGGGACCTGGAGGCCATACTGCAGAGGGCCACCCAGGGCGTCCTCAGCGTCACCCTGCACACCAGCCCCCACCAGGAACAGGCCAAGCTCGCTGTGCTCAAGTACAGCACGCACCAGACCGCTACCCTGGCCAAGAAAGCCCTGATGCAAGGTGAGTGGTGCCCCTGCTGGGGATGGGCTTCCTGGTGTCCCTAAGGAAGGGCTGACCCCACCTCCAGGCGTGGCTGCCTGGTGACTTCAGCACTGAGACACCCCTTGTGCCCTGTGGGATGCCAGCTGCTCTTGGTGTGGTTGATCCCTTGGATCCACAAGTCCTAGTGGTGGTGGGATGAAGAGGCTGCTGGAGGTCTTCAGAAAGTTGCCTGCTCAGAACAGGAACATCACCAGTGCCATTCCAGGGCATCCAGAGTGTTGACCAAGTTATTAAACCCTCCCAATGGAGCTACCCAATCCCTCAGTGTCCCTTAAACCCTCCTGATAGAGCTGCCCTACCCTTCAGTGCCCCTTAAGCCCTCCTGATGGAGCTGCCCAATCCCTCAGTGCCCCTTAAGCCCTCCTGATAGAGCTGCCCTACCCCTCCCATGATTGCACTGGGACACTTTTCCCAGACATCCAGCTGGGACCTCGGACCTCCAAAGTCCTGTTTTGTACCCGTTTGTACCCCAACTGAGAAGCATTTGGCTTTGGCATCTTGCACCTCCTCCCTAAAGCCAGGCTGCCCCTAAAATCCTGGGGATCCCTGCAGCGGATGCTGGAGGGCAGGTGAGCATGTCCTGTCTCTCGCAGGGAACCTGAGGCTCAGGGGATCAGAGATAAAGGTGGAGTGGCTGCACTCTGACCTGAAGCAGAAGCTGCAGCTGTCGGAGGAGACGCCACCGTCCAGCCAGGTGCAGGAGGACAAGAGCCTGGCAGTGCCCAAGCCACTGGCCCCGCCTCCAGCGGCGGAGAACGCGGTGGACCAGCTGAACACCCTGTGCAGGAGGCAGCGCCTGGGGACGCCCGTGTTCTTCACCAAGTGCCTCCAGGCGAACCCCAACGGGTGGCTGCTGTTCCAGTACCAGGTGGTGATCCCGGGGTACCCCATGCCCGTCAGTGGGTTCACGTGGGTCCGGCAGGACGGGCAGGGCCAGAGCAGGCACGAGGAGGCCAAGGCTGCAGTGGCACCACATGTGCTCCATGTGTTAGGTGAGCCCTTGGTGAGTCCTCTCGTGGTGTCTGTGCCAACCCCCCACCTTTCCCAATGTCCTGCGTGTCTCCTGGGAGTGTGGACTGGGGGGGGCCCAACCTGGCAGGCAGGGCTGAAACACTGCCTACCCCCTCCCTGCTGGATGGGCCCCTGCTGGCTCTGAGCTCTGGGTGGGATTTCTGGTTGGAAGCAGAGGGTGCAAGAGGAGGGTTTGGGGCGAGAGCAGAGCCTGACGCTCCCCTCTCCACTGCAGGGTCCCAGCTGATGTAAGGAGCTGCTCTGCCAGAGCCACGACTGAGCCAGCCGGAGTCATCAGCTGTGGTGCTGCCAGCGGTGCCCAAGGCCTGCCAGGCCCTCGGCCCTGTTCCAGTGTTTCTTTAGGCTTGTTTGCATTGGTTTTGGAGCCAGCTCTGGAGGATCAGGCCTGCTGTCCTGGTCCAGGGCAGCTGCCCTGTCCCCAGGTGGCTTCTGCATTGTTTTTGGGATGTTGGCTTTCTTGCCCGGTTTGTCTTGTTGTAAACTGGCTTATGTTGAGGTAGAGAAGCCCAGTGCATGTCCTGGAGGAGCAGTAGCTGCTTGGAGAGGCTTCTGCATTGTTTTGGGGATGTTGGCTTTCTTGCCCAGTTTGTCTTGTTGTAAACTGGTTTATGTTGAGGTAGAGAAGCCCAGTGCATGTCCTGGAGGAGCAGTAGCTGCTTGGAGAGGCTGCCAGTGTTGGATGCCAGCAGGGTGGAGGTGTGGACAAGATGGGCCACCCACAGGGACCATCGTGGTGCCCACGGATGTTCCGTGGGCTGGGGGAGCTGCCGTCCAAGGAAGAGAGTGCCTCCAGGTTGCTTGCCGTTGCACCATGTCCAGGAAGCAGCCGTGGTCGTTCCCGGCTGTCCATAAATGATTTGTCAGGACTGATAGGTCCAGACGTGTGTTGGTCGTTTGGGATTAAAGAATTCTTGGAAGTACCAGCTGTGTCACACCATCTCTTCCTCCCACATCCTCGGCTCCCTGCCTGTCCAGCATCCCTTGGTGCTCTCCCCCCACATCAGCAAGGGCAGGGAAAAGGACAGGGATTTGGAGCCTCCACAGCCTGGTGGGCTGCTCATCAAACCAGAGAGGGTCTCCTTACACCCCCAGTTTGGGAGGGGTCCCCCAGTACTGCTGCAGTCCTGGTACATAGACAGGGGTCTCCGGGCAGGATTCCACCTCCCCTCTCAGTGGGATGGGACAGGTGGCTGCCAAGGGTCCTGATTCCCCCTGGAATCCCTCCAAGGCCCCACTGACTGCAGGATGGGTGCAGTGATGGTGGGGACAGACCAGTCCCTGGAGCCTCTCCTGAATTCCCAGCCCAGCTCCACAGGCGGGTGGATCCCGAACGGGGCACGAGGGTGGTGGAAGAAGCAGGACACGATGGCCCCGTGCTGCTTCTCCCCGGCCCAGGAGTGACAATGGGGGCCTGTGTCCCAGGGTGGGTCTCACAGCTGTCCCAGGGTGAGTTCTGTGTGTCCTGGGGGTCCTTTGTCCATCCTGGAGGGTTCTATATCCATCCTGGGGGACTCTGTCCTTTCTTGAGGGTCCGTGTCTGTGCCGGGGGTCCTGAATCGTCCAGGTCACCCTGTTACACAGAACTAACATTCAGTGGAAAGCTGAGAGAATTGGTCAGGAGGCCCAACAGATCCCTGGGGCTCTGTGGCAGCCTTAAGTAACAAATTGTAACCCTTTTTGAATAATTTGTATATCCTGGCTGATAGGGTAGTAGCTGTACCCCCTGTGGATCCAGGGCCATATTCCAGCACGGCACTAAAGCAATGCCTGTTCCTACGTTGGCGTTAACGAGTTTCGTTTCTGCACCTCTGGCCTCGTTCAGTCCCCTCCCAGCAGGTGCAGCCTCAGCTGCAGTTCAGATGCCAGTTCTGGGGGTGGTCCTGGTCCCTCTGCCCCCAACCCTCCCCACTCATGGCACATTGCGATGCACTTCTGGACCCACCAAGTCCCTTTGGCAGCACCCAAGTTCCATCCTCCTTTCTCTTGGAGATCCCCAGGATCCTCCAAGAGCCTCCTGGTGCACCCTTAGGTGCCTGTTTGTACTCCCTGGAGGTCCATCTGGCCCTCCTGGGGCAGGACCCTCACCTGCTGAGGCAGAGTCAAACCACGGGCACAAGGCACTGGGAAGAGAAAGGCATTGAGTTTATTTGTAACAGAAACAATGTCTAAATTAATTAAGAAGGGCTAATTGACGGCCTGGGACAACAGGGCAGGAAAGGCATGGACCTGTTTTGCCCAGCCCAGGCACTCCAGGACCCCATGTAAGCCTGTCCCTCGTGAGAAATGTCCTGCCTCCCCTCACCCGACATCCCAGGAGCCCCAAATATACCAGCAAAGCCCAGAATTACCCTCCCTCCCCCCGAGCTGCATCCCCACCAGGGACCCCCAACCATATCCCTCCATTTCAGATCCACCCCATCCACCAGGGATAGGGATCTTCTATCATGCCACTTTCCCCCCAAGCCCCCTCCACTAGGGATCCTCAGCCATGTCCCCCATCCCTGGATCACCCACACCAGGGACCCTATGGTGACCCCTTCCCCCGACTCACTCCCACTAGGGACCCCCAACCACCTCCCCCCACCTCAGAGCCCCCCCATCCACCCAGCCCTGTCCCCCGCCCCCGTACATCAGAGGCCCCTCATCCACCAGAGACCCCCATCATGACCTGTGAAAAATTGAGGAACTGATTTTATTCCAAGCAAATTAAAATGAACAGAGGGTACTAACAAAAGAACTATTTCTGTATATTTACTAACTTATAGGCGTACCGTGGAGACTGTAAGGTGAAGAGTCCTATCTGCACCTCTCACCAGGGAATCTTTCGCAGCCGAGAACAAATTATGAATAAAAATGTATTCCTCTGTGCCATGTGGATACACAGAGAGACCCTCCATGCCTTGCAATGTGAGGATGATGCAAGGCCCCCCTGTACGAGCCCAGGGGAGGTATGTTACAACCAGCCAAAAGATAACACCCACTTCCAAAGCAGAGAAATTACCCAACCCCTCTGAATCCCATCCCATTGCACACCTCCAAATCCCATCCCACCCCCTTCCCATCCTATCCCCATCCCATCCCACCCCCCACAATCCCTCTCCATCCCATCCCACCCCATCTCCATCCTACCCCCTTCCCTTCCTATTCCACTCCCCAAAATCCCTCCCCATTCCACACCATCTCTGTTCCACCCCATCCCATCCCTCTCCATCCCATCCCACCCCGTCTCTCCGCTCCCCCTGACCTGATGACCCCGTCCAGAGACCCCACACACACGATGCTGTCCCTGATGGGCACCATGCAGTCGATGGACTCTGCCCTCAGCGCGAAGCGGTCGCCGGCGGCCCCAAACCCGTCCCAGTTGAAGAGGTAAATGGTGCCCTCACTGGAGCCACACGCCACTTTCCTGCCCCTCTGGGCACGACGGAGGGCAGTGAGACAGAACAAGAAACTCAGAGCATGGACATGCATCCACGGGATCCTGCTCTGCGTCAGGGGGCAGCGCCAACCTTCAGCAGCACCACGGACGTCAGGTCCCCGTTCTGCGGCTCCAAGAGCAGCTCAAAGCGCCGCCTCTTCACGTTGTACATGCCCAGGGTGCCATCCCCGCTGCGGAAGGGACACCCTGTGAGCAGGGGACACGGCACAGGGCGCTGCCCCCAGTGGGCACGGGGAGCCCGACCCCAGGTACCTGGCGGTGAGCAGGATCTTCCCGTTGCCATCCACGGCCGTGGCACTGATGTATTCCTCCTGCTGCCGGGCCTCACACCTTCACCGCCCCGCCGTCATCGCCCGCGCCAAACACGTGCTGGTCGATGGGCAGCACACAGTTGAGGGCCGAGCTGCAGAGAGCCCACGGTCATGGATCATGTTATAAGTTACTTTTTCTCTGGAATTTTGAAGACGGCAAAAATACCTGCAGGACAAAGAAATATAGCAAGAGATTTTTACTGCAATGCTGGGTACCCATTTCCAGTACTGGGTGCACCTTTGAATCAAACAAAGAGCACACTGCTGTTTGAAAACCGCGCTTTTTGTACCCTTTGATATCAGTTGTTGAATATTCATTTTACTGTCCGCTTGTTGCCTTAAAAGGTAATTTCTCTGCTTTGGAAGTGGGTGTTATCTTTTGGCTGGTTGTAACATACCTCCCCTGGGCTCGTACAGGGGGGTCTTGCATCATCCTCACATTGCAAGGCATGGAGGGTCTCTCTGTGTATCCACATGGCACAGAGGAATACATTTTTATTCATAATTTGTTCCCTGTTCTCGGTGGCGAAAGATTCCCTGGGGAGAGGTCCAGATAGGACTCTTCACCTTACAGTCTCCACGGTACGCCTATAAGTTAGTAAATATACAGAAATAGTTCTTTTGTTAGTACCCTCTGTTCATTTTAATTTGCTTGGAATAAAATCAGTTCCTCAATTTTTCACAGATCATATAGCGGGATAACGGCTCCCGGAGCACGGGGAACAGCGCTCCGGGCTCTGCCTGCCCGGGAAGGGAAGGGATGAGCCGCCTGTGCGGACTTACCCGTGGGCTTTGGGGAAGCGCGTTTCCAGCCGTCCCTCCTCCACCGTCAGGATGTGGATGGACTTGTCCTTGGACACGGTGAAAAGCTCTGGGGAGCCGCGTCAGCGCCCCCAGCCCCGCCGTGCCCCCCGGAGCCGCCCCCCGCACTCACTCTGCCCGTCCTGGGAGAGCACCACGTCCCGGCACGACTTGAGGTGACGGCCCGAGGACCAGAGCTGCCGGTTCTCCCCCTCGGTGCAGGAGTACGAGTACCTGCGGGCACGGGGAGCGCTCGCCGGGGCCCGCGGGCAGTGCCCAGGGCCGGGAGCCCTCCCCACGCCCCCGGCCCCACTCACAGGTACACATCGCCATCCACGTCCCCCGCGGCGAGCAGCGGCCGCTCCGGGTGCAGGGCGATGGCGTTGCCCGTGGCCTCGAAGCAGATGTCCTCGGGGGTGTCCCGCACCCGCGGCTCCCGCGCCGCCGGCTCCTCCGAGGAGTCCCCGGGGCAGCGGGGCCGTGGGACCGGGGCCGTGGGGCTCGGGGGCATCGGGGTCCCGCAGCCCCACGCGCGCTCACCTCCTCCACGGTGGCCGCCCTGGCACCCTGTGATTTGCCTGTCCACGCCCGTCGTTTGCATAACACCGACCCTTTGTTTATGTAGGACCGCCTGCATTCCTCCAGCGCTGCGTGGAGCGGCCCCGGCCCGCCGGGACTGCGGGGTATCACCGGTTCAGGGGCTCACCAGGTCGGGGTATCGCCGGTATTGCCCCAAGAGTGCCTGGCAGGTGGAAAAGAACTCCTGGCATCCCTGCTGCCCCAAGCCCAGCCCAGGCACCTTTTCCTGCCCACACAAAGGGGCTGACGCAAACTTATTGTAACTTTATTAAGGGTACAACATTTACACAGGCTCTGCAGCAAAGAGTGGAGGGAGGGGAGAGCCCCCCAGCCCAGAGCAGAAAGTGGACGGTGTGTGGAGCAAGGAGGGCACACCAGCACACTCTGGGAGCAGCACCCAGCAGGATGGGCTTCCAGGAATGGGAGGAGGAGGAGACACAGGAGACATCAGTACTTGGGACGTTTCACTTCAACCCTGGAAGAGAGAGAGGGGCAGGAGGGTGGTGAGGATGCAGGGCAGGCAGCTCCACCATCCTCCCATCCAGAGCTCAGCACCAGGGGGCACAGTTCCACCCCACAGAAGGGTGAGAGGGCCCCAAAGAGCAGAGACAACTGTACTGACCCATCAGCCTCCAACTTCTTCCTCTTCTCGATGATCTGCAGAGAAAGCACAAAGTCCCATTACCCTCAGGGAATGTGGCTGTTCACAACCTCAGCAGAAGGGCTGGAGGGTCCCACATACACCCAGGAAGAGCTGGATCCAGCCCAGAGCGAGCTGAGCTACAGTTGGAGCAGTTTGTTCCCCCTTTGCACCTTTTTGGCCACCACAGACCATTTGTTCTCACCTTGTCCATCCCATCCCATCCCATCCCATCCCATCCTCTTGGGGTGCCCATGGCTAGCTCACTCTGCCAGGACAACCTCCAGCTCTGCCAGCTGGCAAACAGGGAGCCACCAAACATGCCCTGTCCCCTCCAAGCCCCTTTGGATGGCTCCAAACTTATAGTTTAAGCACATTCATCTGCTGCACAGCCCAGAGCAAAAAACCCTGACCGAATCCCCAAGCATTTGGCTGATGCTCTTGCAAGGAGCAAATCCTGCTGCTCAAGAGCCATCCCTGCTGCACACACACCCCAGCAGTGTGTGGCTGGACTAAAGAGCCATGACTGGGACAGTGAGGGCAGGACTAGCTGGGAGCTGTCCTTGGGCTACACTGGCACCTTGTGGATCAAGTCCCCAGGTGCCAGCAGCAGGCACTCACCGCGCTGATCTTCTTCCACTGCCGGTCCAGCTCTGCCTTGTCATTTGTCTCCTTGAAGCGGCGGGTTTTGTGGCCCTCAGACATCTTGATCCCATACTGGAGCGCTGCCCTGGGGAAGGAGCAGGACAGCTCAGTGCTTGCAGGGAATTCATAGCCTGACAGAGGAAGGGATGTGTCTCCCCAGCCATAAACACGTACTCCAGACCTGGCCTGGGCCCCTGAAGTCAGGGCTGGAGTCCTCAAGAGTGATTCCAAGAACAAAGACAAATCACCAGGCCCAGGACCCACAGCTCCTCCTCAGGGCCTCATCCCATCTTGTTTAAGCTCCCCCAGCACCCAGGTTTGGCCAGCATGACCACCCCACCCATATGGGAGGGCCCTTCCCAAGGGCTGCACTCACTTGGGCAGAGCCTCCTTGTTGTTCATGTACTCGCTGTACTCCTCCTGGGTGTCAAAGTCCCAGCGGCCCAGAGGCCCCTTCTTGTTACCCTGCAGGGAGCGAACAACTCAGAGCAGCTCCTCAGTGGCTGCTGGTCATGGCTTCTGGCACAGCCCTACCTACCCAGCCACAAGCTCAACCTCCCACCAGCCTTGGCTCTGGATCCCCTCCCAGAGAAGCTCCAGGCTCCTGGCATTCATCACCCAGCTCCAGGGCTTTCTCTCTCCCATGGGATCCTCTCAGCCAGCACTCGTGCCCAGATTGCTGACTGCTCCTAAAGGCTCGTGACAAAATACCTGATCCATTTTGCTGTAGTCCACCTCTTCATCGCTGTCCACAGCCATATCATCCATTCTGGGCAGAAAAAAGCAAGGAAAAGGTTTAGAGTGACATAGATCAGGACCTCTGAGCTGGTGGGAGCCCTGTCTTGTGGTCTCAGACCAAATGCACTCAGTTCCTGGACCAGAGAGAAGAACCCCCAGAGCTGCAAGCCCTGCAGTTGAGCTGGACCACAGAGCACTCCAATGCTCCCAGGATGACTCTACAGGCTGAAAGCTGTTCCTCTTCCACTGAGGGAAGCCAGAGCTCCAGGAGCACATGGATTACCAGAGAATCCAGCAGATTCCCAGCCACTTCAGCCTCTCCCAGGCTGTGAGGGTTTGCAGCTCCGAGCAGCCATGTACAGCAGGGAACAGCTCAGAAAAGGCCAGGTCTGGTAGGACTAAGGACTGGGGGAGCATTTTAACAGTCAACTGTAACCACAAAAAAAGCCAGGTCTGCTCCCCCAACAAGCAGTGGGGCTGATGTTCAAGTTCTTGCTGCCAGAGAGCAGCAGCCCCCAGCACACCCTGATCCCCTTTACACACCCCATTCCCACCCCGCAGCCTCCCGCTGTTCCTTACGTGGCAGGGTAGCACTCGGCATAGCTGTTGGACATGCCAAAGAAGTCTCCCAGCTGCTTCTTGTCCTCTGGCTTCTTCAAGGTGACAGTAGTTAAGGAAAGCACAACCACAAGCCCTACAGCCACAGGCTGAGCACAGCCAGCTGGAAAGCCACCTCCTGCCCCAACACTGCCAAATCAGAGGGTGCAGAGCTTATGTTTGGTGTAGGAGCAGCAAGGTTTGGGCAGCATTTCCCTGTTCCCAGGTGAGGAAAGACAGTCTTACAGCTGTGGAGGGGCAGGGCCTGCCTGCAAGGGCAGCCTGGGCCCACACCCAGGCAGGCTGGCACGGACAGTAAAGGATATGCCTCTGCTCCTTCCCAGCCAGCAGCTCCAGCAAACTTCTCGTTGATGGACTTGATGAGCTCCTTGGCTGAGCCGGGTCCTGGGGTAGAGAGAGCAGCAGGTTAAATTCTGGGGGAGGAACAGGTCACTGCAATACACGAGGAGCTGGGCAGAGCCTCCCTGGGACAGGCTGCAAGTGAGGTAGGAGAGCAGCAGCAAACCAGGAGGGCTGATCCCAGGACACCTGGAATGTTAGAAGAGTTGGGGTGGAAGGGACCTTAAAGACCACCTCATTCATCCCCCTGCCATGGGCAGGGACACCTTTCACTAGCCCAGGTTGCTCCAAGCCCCGTCCAACCTGGCCTTGGACACTTCCAGGGATGGGACAGCCACAAATTCTCTAAGCAATCTGTGCTGGGACCTCACCACCCTCACAGGGAAGAATTTCTTTATAATATCTAATCTAAATCTCTCATCTTTTAGTTTAAGACCATTCCCCCTTGTCCTATTACTTCTCTACCCACAAAAAGAGACGCTTTCCCTTTTTTTTATAAATCCCCTTTAGGCACTGGAATGAGCCCTGCCTGGAGCCTTCTCCCTGGGATCCTCCTCAGCTTACAGGCAGCACGAGGCTGTTTGAGCTGCTCTGCTGCCTCTGCACAGTCCACACACACAAGACTCTTCACCCCAGAGTCCTCACAGCAGGCAACTCCCTCTGTCACAGCAGTTCTGAAATCTCCAACCCTGTACAGGCTCTTTCAGGTGTCCACACCACTTCACTCACCTTTGTCGATGTCTGTGGGCTGCAAAGAAGAGAGAGAGACACAGTGTCACCCGGGAGGGCTGAAGGCAGGCGAGTGACAGTGCTGCATGATGTGCAGCTCTGCTTTAAGACTCTCTGTTCCAAGCCCTCAGAGCTGAATCACAAACACTACAAGGCTTGTGCCAGTCCTGCCTCAGTTGCTGAGAGACAGGACAAGCACCCAGCCACCCACCAGCCCCCGGGGACAGACAGAGCTCAGCAAGAGCTGGCACATGTAGCGGCACCCAAGGCCCTCAGGGTGACCCCCCAGCCCCACTTCCCCAAGGGGCAGAGCTCAGGTGGGACAGTCCTTCCTGAGCAGAGGCTCACCTCATCATCAGCCTTGGGCTTCTCAAAGTAGCTGTGCCTCTTCTTCTCCTCCTCCCTCTCCCGGTCTCGCTCCCGGTCCTTGTCGCGCTCTCTCTCCCGGTACCTCTCCCGTTCCTTGTCCCGTGGCATCTTGGCAGTGGAGGGCACATAATCCCCAATGTCTTCAAAGATGCTACAAGTGGTAAAGAGCCTGGGGTTATGGGTGCTGCAGGAGGAGAGGCCACAATCACCTCCCTGTGACCTGGAACCTGGTAATGGAGCACAAAGCACCAGCACTGAGAGCTAGGGACACCAGATGTGGAACTGGCTTCCACATCTGTCAGAGGTGTTGCTGCACTTCTGTTCCCTTCTGCTGCTGGACCTCTATCTTGTGGTCCAGAGCAACAGCCCTCACCTGCCTCAAGCCTGAAATCCAAACCAGTCCTTGCCTCCAGCCTTGTCCTACAAACTGCAGGTCCAGCAGCTCCAAACCCAGCCCTCTCCAAACGTGGTGGGCCAAAAAGACATTCCCTAAGGCAGAGAGCTGTGACCCCACAGCCTGTGGGCAGGGTGACACTTACTTCATATCAGCTTCAGGAGGCTTCTTCTCATCCAGCTTCCCTGCAAGGACACAACAGCAGTGAGAGGCACATCATCCACTGTTTGCCTGTCCCCAGTCTAGCTTCCAAACCCATGGAGTGGCAGGCCTGGAGGATGTCACCACATCATACTCGGCCCCCTCAGGAAGCCATTGCGTCCCTCCCCAACAGGGGACATTCCCCAGGGAACTAGGCCTTCACCAGAAGTTCAGAGCAGCACAAGACACCCTCACAGTTCTCATTTCCCAGCAGCCTGTCCTTCAGGACACAGTGCTCAGGAAGTGCTGTTCTCCAAGCCCACTGCCTCACAGAAAGCAAGGGAATGGCACAATCCAAACCACACCTCATTCCCTCAAGTTGTGCTCCAAGCACTAAAGTCCTACTACTCAGTTCCCTTCAGCTCCTACCTTTATCCTTCTTCTTGAGCTTCTTGTTGCGGGTGCCTTGCCTGAGGTAGGAGAGGATCTGCGTGAGCTTGCTGATGACAATGTCGTTGGTGGTCAGGGTGGTCTGTGCCTGAAAGGCAAATCCACGAGGAAGCATCCCGCTCCCTTGACAGGGATTCCCCCCCTGGAAAAAACTGCTCTGGCCCATTCAGACCAGTTTGGCCAGGCAGCCTGAGGCCAGCTGGGTACCTCCATGGTGGGGCAGTCGGCCTTGCTGCGGATCAGCGTGGTCGGGATGTCGGTGTCGGCGTACTCATCGTCCAGATCCACCACGTAGGCCATCCTTCCCGGCAGGAACAGCTCATTCCGCTCGTAGGTCTTGCTCTTGAACAGAATGCGGTAGATGTTGCGGCCTGGAGAGCAAGGAAAAGTGTGGGAGAGCAGAGGATAAGCCCATGGCAGAGCATGTTCAGTTTATCAGCAGCGCAAGAATCGCCTCCTAAGCGACACGCTTCCTGCAGCCCTCAAATCCAGGACTCTTCCCCCTCAAAGGACTGAAGGTTTTCATTCCTCCATTCACCCTCCAGGACTTCTCCCACATTCACAACACAACAAAAGGTGTGGAACAGCCACATCCACACGGTCTTACCCAGCCGAGTCTTAAATTCAATTTTGTTCTCAGGATCTTCATCTTTCCTGAATGAAAACAGAAACCAAAAGTATTAAGCCAAGCAAATGCCTCCCCTGCCTCCTCCTCTCTGGGAGGCAGCTGCAAAATCCTTTCTGAGGAGTCCAAAGTCCTCAGCCACTCACTTAGTCTCTTTCTGGGGCTTCTCCATCATTTCTTCCTCCTCCTTCTCCTTGCTGGCGATCTCAGCCCGTACCTGGATGTGGAGAACATCCACGCATTACAGCCAACCCCGGCCACTGCCACCAGCACCACACCCTTCAGCAACCCTTCCCACGAGGGGAAATCCACACTGCCAAGATCAAAGCACCTGGAGCTGGAACTACCACCCTCTGCCCGTGGGAGAGGGCAGGGTGGAAGAGCAGCCCAGTGGTGCCTGCGCTCACCTTCTGCAACAGCGCAAAGTCCAGACCCTTCACCAAGTGAGTGTGCTCCATGTCACCACCCAAGAACTTGGACTCCTGGATCAGCTGTCTCCTCTTCTCCGCAGCAGATTTATCCCTGGGCAGTGAGAATGGAGCCAGTTAGGAGCCAGTTAAGGATGAGGCTGGCGAGCCCAGGCCCCAGCACAGCTCACGTACGCCTCGGCCGTGGGCCCCACGGCCCTGTAGTTGGCCGTGGTGCTGATCAGCTCCGTCTCCTCGTAGTCCTTGTTCACTCCATCCCTCCTCTCCTTGGCTCGGTCCCGGTACTTCTCAGCCAGTTCCCTCTCACGCTCGATCTCCTGCTGCCGCAGCTTCGCGTAGTAGCTGGGGGTGGGAAACACCTGATGAGGTTTTGGGGTCAGGTGACAGCCCATGAGGCCCCACACCGGTCTGTCCTGCTCCCAACCCCCTCCCCAAACCCATACTAAACCACCTGGAGGACACCAGACAAAAGGAAAGTGCTGCACTGAAGCTAACTAAAGAGGAGTTCCATCATCCCTTCCAAAGGGAAGGGGTCCGGCACAGTCCTGCTGCACAGATGTGCCCCAAAGGACACACTGACCACTGCAGATGCCCCACCACTGCCCTCCTCTGCCAGACACCCACAGAGCCTCTCCTGCTTCTTCTGGAGGTGAAGCTTCGCCCTCATCCTGCTACTGCCCTCCCACAGCCGTTTCCACAAGCACTGACAGGCCCTCAAGCTAGGCTGTTCTTCAAAGCTCCAAAATAATCCCTCTGTGGGAGCCCAAGAGCTCAGAGTCTGCTTCCTTGAGAGGGACACGATGTATAATGACAAGTCATGATACAGTGCTTTCCTCATTTACCTTTTCTTTTTCCTCCTGCGAGCAGCTGGATCTTCATCCTCGTTGTACTCCCGGGGCATCCTGGAAGAGGGTGAGAAAACACTTGTGTATTCTGCAGAGCCACAGGGATGGCAGGTGCAGAGAACAGTCCCTCAGACACAGCAGGGCACTGAGGAGCTCCAAGATGGAAAAGCAGTCCATCTCCCCAACTTCTCCCTAATTCCACTCTGCAGCAGGAAGAGGAAGGGAAAGCACTGCTTTTCACCAAACAAAATCCAAATCTACCTCCTGCACAAAGTGTCTTAACAGCCAGGAACCTCATTCTGTACTCGACAGCAGCCCTGACCCACGTGCTTCCCCTCTTCACACACTCATCAGCAAAACCCCTTTAGATACTCCACTGCAGAGCACAGGGGAGAGGCTGAGCTGAGCACGGAGCCTCAGAGGGAAAGCAGGAAAGCAGGCCTGGATTGTCCCATGGTCCTGTGGAACGGTCCTACTCACTCATGGTGGCGAGATTTGGACGGTGGCGCAGATGTTGGCGCAGCCCGCGGGGTCATGAGAAGCTTCCTGAAGTCTTCATTGGTCAGCTTGGATCTGCAAGGGAGAGAGGGAACAGAAACCGTCATTCCCAAAGAGCTCTGGTGCAGGACAGCTTCCAAGGAGGCAGGGGGTTTGCCAGCAGGTCCTGTGTGGTAGAGATGGGCGTGGGGTCTTAAGGCTGGGGTGCACCAGTGAGTCCCAGTCCCACCCCAGGGCTGCCCAGTGCCCCAGAGCTGTACTCACTGGTGGAAGGAGTGCGAGTCATCCACGTCGTGGCCATCAGGGGCCAGGGGGTTGGAAAACGGCTCATCTGGGGAAAGGGAGAGAGAGAGCTCAGACAGCGCCTAGGTGGCACTGACCCCCTGCCCACCCACCCGGCCCAGGAGCAGGGAAGGGAGCAGTGTCCACCCGCAGCTCGGAGTGGATCCCAGCCCGCTGCTGCTGCTGGTGCTCGGGACAAGAGCGTCCCGGAGCCACTGCGGCCCCGCGGCTCCGCGCCCTCCCAGGGGTGTCCTGCGCCCCGCGGCCCCAAAAACACCCGACACCCCCACCCCACCGCGCCCCGGGGATCTCCTCACCCCCGGAGGTCCCTTCCAGGCAAGGGGGCTCCCTCGCACCAGCCCGGGGTCCCCCCGTTCCCTCCAGAGCCCTCCCGCTCCCGCAGCCCGGGCTGGGCCTACACCGCCCCCCCCCACACCGGGCCGACCCGCCCCGAGCGCCGCAGCACCCGCCGCGCGAGGGCCGGGTGTCCCCTCAAGGGCGTGTCGCGGTGTTCCCGGTATTCCCGGTGTTCCCGGTATTCCCGGTGTTCCCGGTGCCCACACTCACTGTCGCGGTCCGGCATCGCTGCGCGCTCCGCTCTGCCCCGGCCCCGCTCCGCGGCCCCTCCGCCCTGCGCTGCCCTCCTGCGCTGCCCTCCCGGCGCACCCCGCGCTGCACGCTCCCATTGGTCAGCCCTGCCGAGGCTGCCGCTCCCATTGGCCGGCGCGGCGAGGCGGGCGCTGCGATTGGCGGAGGCGCCCCGCGGTCCCGCCCCCCCGTGTTGTTGTGACAGCAGAACAAGATGGCGGCGGCCGCCGTGAGGGGCATCGGGGGCGGGCTGGGCCTCAGGCTGCGGGAGCTCCGCATTCACCTGTGCCAGCGCTCCGCCGGCAGCCGCGGCGTCAGGTCAGCGCGGGGACTCGGGGATAGCCGCGGGTGGCGTCCGGGAGTGCTCCGCTGCGGGGGTCCCGCTCAGCCGGGGGACCCCCGGGTTGAGCGCCGGGGACCCACCGCTTGTCCTTCCCCCCGCAGGGAGTTCATCGAGCAGCACTATGTGACCCTGAAGAAGGCGAACCCCGACTTCCCCATCCTCATCCGAGAGTGCTCCGGTGTGCAGCCCAAGCTCTGGGCGCGGTACGGTGAGTGTGGGGTGCCCGCCGGGAGGAGGCACCTGAGGGGAGCAGGAGAGTCGTGGAATGGTTTGGGGTGGAAGGGACTCTAAGGCCGAGAATGTTTATGGGAAACGCTCAAAGGGAGGAGGTGGTTTGGGAAGGGAAGAGCACAGGAAAATGGGGATGGGGAAAATCATAGAATCACAAGATAGTTTAAGCTGGAAGGGACTTTAAACGATCATCTCATTCCAGTCCCCTGCCATGGGCAGGGACACCTTCCACTATCCCAGGTTGCTCCAAGCCCTGTCCAGCCTGGCCTTGGACACTTCCAGGGATGGGGCAGCCACAGCTTCTCTGGGCAACCTGTGCCAGGGCCTGCCCAGCCTCTCAGGGAGGAATTCCTTCCCGTGGGATACAGCAGTGGGAGTTCAGGGGTTACAGTGATGGATGTTGGTGGAGAGGGAGCTCTTGGGACAGGAGAGGGTTTCACTTCAGGGAAGTGGCCTGGGGGGAGGCAGAAAAGGACCCTTTGGCTCAGCAGGTCTTTTCCAGCCTGTGCCTGTGATCTACCCTTCACTGCACAAAAATCTGGCTGACTTTCCTTTATTTACACTGGATTCTCAGTGAAACACCAAGGAAAGAGCGGAAAAGCCCCTCTGTTTTATTTCAAAAGCCATTTAGGCTTGACCAAAACAATTTAGAAACTCTACTTTGAAGAGATGCAACGACCCTTTAAGCACAGATTTCCCAGTGTGAGCACACAGACCAGTGGAGTCTCTTGTCTGTGTGTGACTTCCAGGGAAATGGAGCTCTGGGCTGGGGCTGCTGTAGGAACAGGGGGGTTTTCAGACTGTTTTACTGAGGTGCTGAGAGCAGGCTGAGAGGTTGCTCTGGGATGTGTCTCTGCCCAGCCAAAGTTAACAAAAAGAGGCAGGGAAAGGTGTTTGGCTCCTTTGGCTTCTCTCCAAAGGAAAGCAGGAGAATAAGGAGAAGATGGCAATAATAACTTGGGCACAGAGGGGGACACTGGGCAGTGGTGGATCTAAAAGGGTGCTGGGGGGAGCCTGGGCTGTGACACCAGTGGCACTGGGGAAGCCCACGGCAGGATTTGGGTTGCCCTGGCACCAGAAAAGGGCCAATACACCTCCCCCATCTCACCCTTCATGTTTCCCACAGAGTTTGGGAAGGAGAAGAGCGTCCCACTGAACAACCTGACGGTGGATGAAGTGGCCAAGGCTCTGGAGAGCGTTGTGAAAAGCCAAGCATGAGGACAGACAGTGAATACACACGATGCTGGAGACGTGACTGATGATCTTTAATGTCAGATGTGTATCTTTAACTTATCAATCCATAAACACAGCGTGCTTACCCTGAGCTGAGCTTCACGTGGTGGCTGGAAGCCCAAAGGAATGGCTGATCCAGCCCTTCACACCCTCCCTGGCACCAGCAGCAGCTCAGCTCTGCTCCTCTCCAGGCTCTGGGGGTGCTCTGGGCTGGTGGCTCCGAGATGGTGACAAGGACCAGCACTCCCCTGAGCCAGAGCCCTTGGGAAGCTGGGCATGGGGTGGACAGACAGTTTATTCCCCCTTGGAACATGGTGGAGGGCAGGGAGGTGGCAAGGCCTAGGAGAAGGCAGGCAGTGTGGTGTGGCAGGGGCTGGGGGCTCCCAGGGGCTGCCTGACCATGTGTAGCAGAGCCTGTGCCCGCTCCTGCAGCTCTGGGATGCTCTGGTGCTGCTCCAGGGCCTGGTTCCCACCTTGCCTGGTGAAATCAGCAGCAGCCTGTGCCAGAGGAGAGGGGTGAGAGCTGGCTGGGTGCTACAGCTCATCATCTCTGCCCACAGCCAACACATTGCAAGGAAGAGGGCTGGAGGAATTCCCCAGAGCCCTCACGGACACCACATTCCCAAGCCAGGTAAATCCCACTGTGCTGATGGTTGGTTGGGAAGGATCTTAAAGCTCATCCAGTCCCACCCCTTGCCATGGGCAGGGACACCTTCCACTAGCCCAGCTTGCTCCAAGCCCCATCCAACCTGGCCTTGGACACTTCCAGGGATGGGGCAGCCACAGCTTCTCTGGGCAACCTGTGCCAGGGCCTCCCCACTCTGACAGGGAACAATTTCTTCCTGTGCTCTCCACTAAATGAAGCAAGCACAGTGGAATAAAAAGAATCCACCCATAATAACCCCAGAGGGTACAAAGAACCTGCCCAAACCCCAGTCCCTGATGAAAAGGAACTTCCTAGAGACACAAGAAGGGCTTCCACCCTCTGCATCACAGTTTCCCTTTGGGCAGGGAAGTGCTGAGGGATGGGGGGTAGCATGGCAGTGACTGAGGGCAGCATTTTTTAAATTATAATAATCATCCCCCTTCCATAATAACAACCCTCACAATAAGAATTCCCTGTCCCCTTTTATTGTGCCCTGGAGCTCCCCCAGCTCTCACCTGTGGGCAGTGCAGGAAGAGGAGGTGCAGCAGCTCCAGGCACTGCCCCAGGGCCTCAGGGTCGGGCTGGGTGAGGATGGGCAGGAGCAGGGGCAGGACGGGCTGTTGGAGCAGCCGCTGGCACAGGAACGGTCCCTTCTCTGCGATATTGCACAGCACGGTCAGCACCTGCACGGAGCGGGGAACACCTCGTGGGCACATTCCTGACTGGCTGGGGAGGGCTGGGAACAATTCCCATGGCATGGAATCACAGCATGGTTTGGGTTGGAAGGGACATTAAAGCTCACCCAGTTCCAACCCCCTGCCATGGGCACGGACACCTTCCACTAATCCAGGTTGCTCTAAGCCCAGTCCAACCTGGCCTTGGACACTTCCAGGGATCCAGAGGCAGCCACAGCTTCTCTGGGCAACCTGTGCCAGGGCCTGCCCACCCTCACAGGGAAGAATTCCTTCCCAATATCCCATCTATCCCTGCCCTCTGTCAGTGTGAAACCATTCCCCCTTGTCCTGTTTCTCCAGGCCCTTGCCCAAAGTCCCTCTCCAGCATTTTTTTGTCCTGCCAGGTGCTTGTCCAAAGCCATGTGCCCACCACGCCCCTGGGTTTTCAATGCTCTTTACAAGCCTTTTCCATGCCCACCCCAAGGCACTGTTCATCTCCATGCCAGGCAGACCCAGCTGTGCCACCCAGCCCTTGGCAGCGTCCCCCCCCCAAGCCCTCTAAAGCTTTGGGGTCTCCCACAGCAAGGTGTCAGCAGCCTCCCTGGGCTCACTCCAAGTTAACATCTCCTTTGGAACTGCTCTTGTGTTGGGACAAGGCTCTGCCAGAGGTAAGTACAGCTGGATTGGCCTCAAGGGAGGTGGCTGGTGACCGTCACAACAGGAGACCTCCTGCCAAGCTGTCCCTACTGCCCCATCCACCCTCCAACATTGTCAGCGTGGGATTCGTGTTCCCACCATTCCTCAGGCACGAGGTGAGGTCTTACCAACACAGAGGCCATCTGGGAGCACGGCAGGAGCTGCAGCAGGGCCGGGAGCAGGTCCAGGGAGAGCAGAGCGGAGCAGAGGAAGGGATCGTCCGCTGTGGGGGCAGAGAAGGGACGGGTCAGTAAAACCGGGGCAGGTCCCGGCAGCGCTCTGGCTTTGCCAGGGGACACTCACCCGTGAGGTTGTTCAGCAGCCACAGGCACTCCTGGCCCAGGAACAGGTGCTGCTGGAGGAGGCACTGCAGGAGGAGGAACAGGGCGATGAGCAGGCGCTCGTCCCGCACCTGGCAGCCCGTCTCTGCCAGCAGGTTGCTGAGACACCGCAGCACGGGGCACATGAGCTGTGACAGACAGAGGGACACACACAGCCCTTCAGCTGGAACCAGGAACAGCAATCCCAGGAACCACCAGCACCCTGGCCCGCCTCTCACCAGCTCCAGGCCCTCGGGAGCATCCTGGGGGATTTCGGAAGCCAGGTCGAGCAGCAGAGAGGTGAGGGCGGGCACAGCCCCCAGCGCCAGCAGCACCGTGTTGGATTTGTGCCTGCAAAGGGGAGGGACAGTGGGGTGGCTCTTGGAGCTCGGAGAAGGAAAACTGCCACAGCCCCTCAGCAAACAACAGGGCCTGGAAATTCAGAGCACCCTCCTGAACCACCACAGGGCTCGTTTCGTGTTGCAATAGCCTGGTTTTTTTCTGAGCTTATGAGAACGTTCAAAAGCCCATAAAAACAGACTCACTGGAATTATCTGTGTGGGTCTGGAAGCAACAGCCCCAACCCTTGTTTGAGTACCCGCACATTCCTTGTCTCCGGTGGCAGGCAGGGATTGCTGGCACAACCAGCCTGGATGGGTGGCACTGAGCCAAGCCCAGAAGTGTGAGGATTCAGGGAGCTTGATTTGGGAAATGTGGAGGACAACTCCAGACACGGAGAGGAGATGTGGGGGCATTTCAGAGGACCAGAAACAGCCTCCTCAGGTTTGTCACCCATTACCACCCTGGAAAGGAGCTCAGGATCCTGCAAACAGCCCATGTGTGCTCAGATATGAGGGCAGGGATACCCAGGATGGCAGAGGGAAAAGGGCAAGAGGAAGAAATCCAGGTCACCTCACAGGACCATGAGCCTTCGTGCCTCTGTTTGGCTGCCCCTGGGGAACTCAAAATGAGGAGAAAAGCAGATTTACCTACAAATGATGTAGTGGAGACACCAGGCAAACTCCACAGCTGCTCCTAGCCCAGCCTTGAGGCCGGAGCACACCAGGCGAAGCATGTGCTGGGGGAGGACAGAGTCCAGGACCTGCCTGGGGTCAGAAAGTCAGAGTTAATGGAGGCACAGGTAGGACAGACACTGACAGGGAGGCACTAACCATGGCCACTGAGCAGGGAGCTGCTACACCCCATGCTGGGGGCCACATGCTCCAAATAAACACCTGGAAGAAACTCTCAGCCAAGGGCTGCAGCCTTGGGCTCTCCCTGTCCATGGCAGGGCCTGGGGGCACTCAGGACACCTTGGCTGAGGTCATATTTTTGGCACTGAGGGCTGTCAAGCTGATCCTTTTCCTTTGCAGGAGGAACACAGCCAGAATTTCCCTGCGAGCCCACCCTGCTCCACACTGGCTTTCACCAAAATACCAGAGCTGTCTGATTGGATGAGGCTGAGGGAAAGGAGCCAAGCCCCATGCCCTGATCTGCATCCAAACCCCCTCAGTTCTGGTGGGATTCTGCCCTGGACTATTAACATCACTGGGATGGGAAAGGTCCCATGTCCCCGGCACACAAATAGCACACTGAGCCCCAGGGCCCATCCCGGTGCAGGATTCAGAGGCTCAGACTCACGGGATGATCTCCACGGGTGATTCCTTGGCTTGGAGGAGCTGTGAGAGGACGTAACCCACACCTTCCAGCACGGCCTCATGTGGGGACTGCAGTCAAACAGAACAGAGGTGATCCCTCCTGGCAGAGCTGGGGGCCCACAGTGCCAAACCCAGGCCAGCAGCTGAGCGGCACAGTCCCACTGTGCCTGGAGGAGAGGGGGCACAGAGGGCACTGGGAGGACCCAGGAACCTTTGGCCACACCAAAGCTGAGCCATCTCCCTCCCCACACTCGCTGGGCTGTGGCTGTAGGGGTCCAGGAGCCCAGATGCAGAGCTGCAAAGCACAGCCCCGAGCCAGGCAGAGGGGAGAGGCCTGCAGCTCCCTGTGTTACAGACTGAATCAGCAAGCCACTGGGTGGGGGAGATTCAGCTGCAGAGGAGCACAGGGTGGTGAGCTGAGCCCCAAAAATGGAGTGCAGGAAAGCCCAGGAGTGACTCTCACACTCGAGGGAACAGCTCCCTGCAGAGGGATCTAGTGCCCACAGCCAGGGCTGGAAGGAGGGCTGCTGACTCAGGGCTGTCAGCCAGAAAAGTCTCTAGGGCAGGCCAGGAAGAGAAGCGTGGCTGAGCTGTTTCACCCACCTGGATGCAGGATGCCAGCACTGGAATGATGCCCTGAGGCAGAAGTCGCTTCCTCACAGCTTCACTTTCCACTACGAGGTTCCCCAGTGTGTACAAACACAGCTCCTGCAACACACAGAGCCGTGACCCCATCTGTGCTCCCCTGGGCAGCCAGCAGGGCCCAGGTCCCACAGCCTCCTCCGAGCAGGGCAGGAGCTGAATCCAGACACACAGACACTGCTGGACTCTCCAACCACCCCATTCCCAGCTGTGCCAGCTTCAGTTTGTTCTTTTTCTGTCTGGCTCAGGTTGGGATCTGATCACTTCCACTTTGGAGGGCATTGAAATTGCAACAGTCAAGTCTCGCCGCTGGATCCACTGGTGGTGATATCTTTCCTCTCCACTACCTACTCTTATTTTTATTTTCCTTTCCTCATATATTTTCTTAAGTGATATCTTTATACTTTTACATTGTTATGTTTCTATAGATAATAACCAAGACGTTTACATACCTCCTTTCCATTGCCACCAAACTGTTCTAAAATAAACCCGCCATACATATATATACACATACATATATATATGTATAAACATCAGTCATTCAGTGTCGTTTCACCCTCACCCCACCCAAGGGGCCTATCATTAACAAGAACCTCAGTTACCACACCTTTGGGGGTGGGTTGTAACACCTGGGCACTGGGGACAGTTCTGCTCCAAGGGGAAGGTGGGACCAGAGGCTTCCCAGAGGGCCCCTTCCCACCAGCACTCCCACGTGAGGCCGGTTTGGCCAAGAGAGGTCAATGCCAGCTGCTAGCAGTGGATCCTCAGAGACAGAGCATGGAGCTCACCGTGAACTCCACGCTGTGTCCCGACAGGTACGTGAGGAGGTAGGAGGTCACAGGCAGACAGGCCTCGGCCACAGTGGGGTCACTGGAGTGGGACAGCTCGTGCAGACAACGCGCTGCCTCCAGCTGCATGTCGGCCAGGCTGCTGGTGAACAGCCCCGTGAGCGTCCGCACGCTGCCCTCCAGCCTGGCGGGACACAAACGCCGCTGTCACCTCCCACCCTGCTCTCACCCACCCAGCCACCAGCACAAAGGGCCCCTCGGGACACGGTAACAGCCACACCAGAGCCAGGCTGACCTGACAAACTTCTGCTGGGTCTCCTCGTTCTGCAGAGCCCGGCGGAGGCGGCCGAGCGATCCCTTCCTGTCCTCCGAGCCCCTCTGCACAGCTCTGAGCAGCTCGAGGACCTGGCCAAGGAATCAAAACATGGGTGAGCTTCCAGCAGCACCAGCGTTAAGATTTCATCCCGTTAATCCTGGAGGCAAAGGAACCCAGGGCATAAAGATGGGCACAGAGAACCTCACCGTGTCTGGCAGTGACTCAGAGACATTCCCAAAGCCACCCTTGCCCAGCCTCCTTCACCTGCTGATGCTGGGAAAGACCCCCATCACCACAGAGAACATCATGTTCTTCACCTCATCCTCTGAGAGTGGGTCCGGCACGGCGTCTGCTCCATCCTGTCCCCCCTCCTCTGCCGCGCTGTCCTCCCGCAGGAGCCGCTTGCTCACCAGCTGCTCCTCCCGCCGGGCTTTCCTGAGAGCTGCAATCGGATCAGGACCCGTCACCACCCGCCTAGGGCAGGACGCTTTTCCATCCCGCCCAAGAGCTCCTTATTTCTCCCTCAACCCAGGGAGAAACTGCCCGTTCCTCCCCGTGCAGGCCTGGGAAGGATGTGGGGGAATCCATAGCTGGGATAATGGGCAGGAGCGCGGGACAGAGCTGGGACCAGCAGCAGGGACCCGAGGCTGGTTCTCAGGTAGGATCACTGAACCAGTAAGGTTGGAAAAGACCTGCCAGATCATCAAGTCCAACCTTCAGCTGAATGCCACCAGGCCCACCGAGCCGTGTCCCCAGATGCCACATCTACTTGTTTTTTGAGAACAAGTCCAGGAATGGTGAGTCCACCACTGCCCTGGGCAGCCCCTTCCAATGCTTGACCACCCTTTTGGTGATGAAATTTCCCCTAATAGCCAAGCTAAACACCCCACGGTGTAATTTGAGGCCGTTTTCTCTCGTCCTGTCGCTCGTTCCCTGGGACCAGACCCCCGTTTGGTTCCACCCTCCCGTCAGGGAGTTGTAGACAGCGAGAAGGTCCCCCCTGAGCCTCCTTTTATCTCTTCTGAGACACGCTCGGGATCTTGGAAAACCCAAATCGCGGGAGGATGGCTGAAGAAATGGGGAATTCTTGGAGGATTTCAATTTTTAAGCTGTAAAACGCTTCCCCCGAGCGGGCAGGACCCCCCGATGCCATCACTGCGCGCACCGCGGGATGCGCGGCCGGGAGGAGCCGGGGGGGTTCAAGGCGACAAGGCTGAGCTGGGGGGGTCCCTCCCACCCACGGGGGGACCCACAAACCCTCCCTGACCTGCCTCTCGCTCCCGCCGCCGGGCCCGCAGCTCCTCCGCACCGCGCCCGGCCCCGCGCCGGCCCCGCCGCCGGCCCCACATCGGGAAGGAGGAGGAGGAGGAGGAGGAGGAGCAGGAGGAGGAGCAGGAGGAAAAGGCCGTTCTCGGGGCGGTCCCGGGGCGGGGACATCCCGAACCCGGCCCCCCCAGCCCGCCCCGGGCACGGAGAAGTGTGCATCGCCGGGTCTGGGTGGGATGTCTGTGCTGAGGCCAAAAAAAGCCTGAAGATTCACCAGAAATGCGAACCAACGCGTCTCAGGGCCCCGGGATTTTCCACCGCGGTGGGGCAGAGGAGCTCGTGCTTCCTCAGGAAGGCATTTGGGGATTCGCAGCTGGTGGCCAGAAATTCAAGGTACCAGCCCCGGCCAGAGCTGGCAGAGCTGCCAAAAGGGGCAGTGGCGGGAGCTCAGAGGGCAGCGGTGATTTTTCCACGGTGCACACGGCAGCAGTTTGATGGAATAACACAATGGTTTGGGATGGAAGGGACATTAAAGCTCAGCTCATTCCACCCCCTGCCATGGGCAGGGACACCTTCCACTAGTCCAGGCTGCTCCAAGCTCCGTCCAACCTGGCCTTGGACACTTCCAGGGATGGGGCAGCCACAGCTTCTCTGGGCAACCTGTGCCACCCTCCCAGGGAAGAATTTCTTCCCAATATCCCTATATCCCTGCCCTCTGGCAGTGGGAAGCCATTCCCTGTCTCCTATCCCTCCATCCCTTATCCTCAGTCCCTCTCCAGCTCTCCTGGAGCCCCTTTAGGCCCTGCAAGGGGCTCTCAGGTCTCCCTGGGTGAACCCCCCCAGCTCTCCCAGCCTGGCTCCAGAGCAGAGGGGCTCCAGCCCTGGTAGCATCTCCGGGGCCTCCTCTGGACTCACTCCAGCAGCTCCACATCCTTCCTGTGCTGAGGAGTTTCCTGTATCCCAAGGATGGAGAAGAGGAATCATGGAATTGCTGATCCCCTCTGCACAAAAGTGCCAGAGAGCATGGGACAGGCAGCTCCAGCCCCATCTGTTGTGGCACTAATGTGTGATACCACATTGACAACAACAAACTGGGAACTGCATTGTCCAGCTATGCAGTTTTGTTGCCTTCCTGAAACAGTTTCTGAATTCAACACAAGCGGAGAAATCCCTGGAAAAGAAAAAAAGTCCTGAGAAATCACAGAATCTGAGAATAACTGAGGTTGGAAAAGACCTCCAAGAGCATCGAGTCCAACCTTTGACTGATCACCACCTTTTCAACAGACCAGAGCACTGAGTGCCACATCTTCTGGACCTTTCCTGGTGGTCTCCACTCTTAACCCCTCGGAGCAGGCACAGTCACAGCTGTCAGAGGAGCACGGGACAAGTGATATGAGTTCTCTGGCCAAGCTACCAGCTTGCCTTGGGTGAAGGAGTGCCCCGTGCAGCCTTGGGCTGGTCCCATTCCCATTCTACGTGGAACAACCTTGGGGATGGTCTGGATTCCAGGTATGACAGTCCTGTACTCTTCTTCATTGCCAGGGGGCTCTGAGGCACAGCGATCCCGGAGCATCTGGAAGGAAAGGGATGGTCCTGAAACTACCTTTGGGGAATCCCGACCACACTCGGCTCCGTCACCCTTCCTAGGAAAGCGAGCATCGCTGGCACTCGGACCGCAGCCCTGCCCAGCCCGCGGCCGCGGGGCAGCGAAGCAGAAGTGACTTGGGCGGCTCCTGCACGGCGCGTGGCTTCCCGTGGCACAGCCGGGCTGTCCTGTCAGGAAGTCACGCCGAGGGAGCAGGGGCAGTGCCCGGGAGCCGGCCCCGAGGTGTCCGTCAGTCCCGACCGCGTGGATCGGCTGCGGGAGCGCCATCGGCGGCTGGAACACCCCTGCGGGCACCGGGGGCTCACCCGGCCAGAGGCAGGGGAGGATCAGGTGCCGGAGAGAGCTGAGAACCTGAAGTCTCTGGCATCTCAGCCTTGGATTTGGCAGAGGTTAGAGGAAGCAGCCGTGAGGGAAGGAAACGTTTCTGAGCCGGCTGGTGAGTCACTGGACAAACTCACCCCTGATCCTGCTGTCCCCCAGAGTGAGGGGGGCTTGGTGCAGGTGCTGGAGGAGAGTTTCTCCCCAGGAGGATGGTGCATCCCCGCGACACAGAGAGGTAGGGAGAGATCCATCCTCGGAGGGTTTTGGGATCTGGCCAAAAAAAAGCTGTGGCTGATGAGGGCTGGTGCCGGCAACAGACCTGCTCGAAGCAGGAGGCTGTACTGGGGACCTCTAAAGACCCCCCACCACTACTCAGCTGAGCCAGCACGTTTTCAGGAGCCTTTAATCTTTGCTTGCTGCTTTTTTTGCCATGTGGTGACCAGACTGTCCTGTCAGCAGTGTCTGGTGCTGACAGGGACCTGTAGGGACCCTCAGAGGTCATTTTCCATCACCCCTTTTGGGGGCTGGTGATGAATCAAATCACTGGGTGAGAAGAGAGAAAACACGAAGCCCTCTGTTGCAATTTCCTGCCCTGGATTAGAGAGGAACAAACAGAGCTGGGGCTCTCCCCTCCCGTGGTCAGACTGACATATCTGGCTTCCCTGTCCCTAACTCAGCATTTCTAGTTTCTCCTGATTCCTTGGCATTTCCTGGTCTCTTAGGGGCGGGAGCCTGCAGCGAGGCAGCCCAGGTAGGACAGTGCAGAGCTTCAGGAGCCACCCTGCTTTTGGGGTGGGATGGGAGCAGTGCCACCGGCTCCCTGGCACGGAGAGGGTGGCACAGGTGCAGCTCCTGGGTGTTGGCTGCCGGTCTGAGCTTTGCCCTGAGTCATGTAGCCACTCAGCTAGCCCTTGGTAGCCAGGTGGGGTGTGCAGGAGCAACGAGGACAGTGCCATGTCCCCAAGGGATGGCTCTGCAGGGCAGAACTTTCCCAAGCCAGGATGGGAGTCCAGCACGTCCCTTTAGCTGCTGTTCACCATTTCCCCTCGTTTTCAGGTTGTTCACCATGAGTGTGGCTGTTCTGCTCCTCCTGGGGCTGGGGCTGTTGGGGGCAGAGGGCAGAAGAAACAGGTGTTACTTCAACCGCGCTCAGGAGCGCTGTGTGTGCTACAACCTGTCCGAGGAGACTGTGGACAGCATCATCCAGTGCCTCGCAGCCACTGTGGTGGAGTTTCGGGGGGGAGATGTGGAGAAATACATAGCCTTCCCCATCAGGAAGATGGACGACTCTGCCATTGAGGCTCTGGGCTCACTTATCATCGAGAAAGTGATTATTGCTGATGTGCTGGTGCCTGAGATCCTCCTGGCCCGTGTGTTGAGGTTCTTCTCCTACACCCACGTGAAGGAGCTGGTGTTTGACAGCTGTGTTTTCCAGGGCTCAGGTGACTGGCATGAAATGGATGGCCAGAGCTTGCCCATATTGTCCCTGAGCTTCAATAACGTGACATCTGCCCCGCTGATGGGCAATGAACAGGCCTTCTCCAGCCTGAGCACGTGGCTGGAGACCCTGCAGGAGCTGGCTGTCACCAGCTCCCATGTCACCAACCTGCCCTGTGCCATTGGAAAGGTGTTCAGAGCTCTGCACACCCTGGACCTGGCACAAAACAGCCTCGAGGATGGGAGCCTGACACCTACCTTCTGCCAGGGAACTTTCCCTCAGCTCCAGGTGCTGAGTCTGCAGCACAACAACCTGACGTCCTACCACAGTGTGTGTGAGGGAGTGGAGCTGCTTCAGGGGCTCCAGAACCTCAATCTCAGCCAGAACAAGCTCATGGCAGACCCATCCTCCTCCTGCCAGTGGCCAGCATCCCTCCGGATCTTTAACCTGTCCCACACCGGCTTGGAGGAAGTGCTGACACCTCTGCCTCCCAACCTAGAGGTGCTGGACCTGAGCCACAACCACCTCCGTGCCGTGGACATCTCCCTCAGCTCCCTGAAGAAGCTCTTCCTGAGCCAAAACCTGCTGCAGGCCGTCCCCTCCATCCGGAATTACCCCCTGCTGGACACCCTGCACCTGGACAACAACTCCATCTCAGAGCTGCCGCGGGACGAGGTGACGCTCCTGGGGCGCCTGCAGGACGTGACTGCGGCCAACAACCCCTACAACTGCTCGTGCTCCGGGGCTGGGGGGCTGCAGGCACTGGCAGCGAGGGGGCACCTGGGGCAGGGCTGGCCCCAGGACTACACGTGCCAGTCCCCGCCGGGCTACCAGGGCTGGCGGGTGGCGGCCGTGCCGGTGTCGGCGCTGCGGTGTCACCGCGCCGCCGTGGTCGCCCCGCTCTGCGTGGCCCTGGCCCTGCTGGGCCTGGCAGGGGCCCTCTGCCTGCTCAGGGCCAGGCCCTGCCACAGGGTGAGATGCTGGAGCCTTCCCACCCGTGCCTCCCCCTAGGAGCACCAAGGGAAGGCTCACAGGCCCCCCAAGTGAGGGGCTCTCTCGGTGTCCCCAGCCCAGGCTGCCCCATGGAGCGTTATCCCTGTGCCTTTGCCCCACTAGGTTTTGGGGCACCCCTCACTCAAAGCCCTGTCCCAGGGCTGTAGCCTCCCTTGTGGCCAACTCCAGCTCCCCAAGCCCAAACACGCCCCCATTGCCCCTGTGATGTCACCTGCCCTGGATAAGAAGAATTCAGCTCCATCATATCCCCACTGGTGGCACTCAGATGCCCCAAACCTCTCTGGGGTCTGGTGTTCCCTGACCAGACCCCCACAACACCTTGTAGCCCCCCCATCCAGCCATCCTTGGAGCCTCTGTGACCCCTCTGCTGGTCCTCCCTCTCCTCACCTGGGGTGCTGTGCCTGGGCCAGGATGTTTGGTTTGTGAGGACGCTGCTTAGCTGCTCTTCAGCACAAGAGGAAACCCACAAAGACAGAAAAATTACTAAATTGAACACACAAATGCCAACGAGGAGGAGCAGCCAAGACCTGAGCTCTGGAGGCACTGGTGGACAAGTCCCTCTGGTGTGACCCTGAGGACGTTCAACCAGAAACTTTTTGTGATGAGAGGAAAAGGGGTTTGTTCTGGGTTATGCAGAGAATATCTCACATTAAGGGGAAAACTGATCGTGGGATTCTGAGGGAGAGCAGGGGAATGCAGGACAGTGGGGAATGCTTATGGGAAGGATCAAAAGGAGGGGGTGGGTGGGGAAGGGAAAGGCATGGGGAAATGGGGATTGAGGGAAATCATAGAATCACAGGACAGTTTGGGTTGCAAGGGACAATAAAGCTCATCTCATTCACCCCCTGCCATGGACAGGGACGCCTTCCACTATCCCAGGTTGCTCCAAGCCCCATCAAACCTGGCCTTGGACACTTCCAGAGATGGGGCAGGCACAGCTTCTCTGGAAAACCTGTGCCAGGACTTCCCCACCCTCAGAGGGAAGAATTCCTTCCCAATATCCCATCTAACCCTGCCCTCTGGCAGTGGGAAGCCATTCCCCCCGTCCTGTCCCTCCAGCCCTTGTTAAAAGAAGGGGCTGGTTGCAGGTTGGCAGTGCTCACCTGGCCAAGCCCTGCTCTTCATCCCCTTGGCCTGTCCTGGCTATTTTCTGGGTATTTTCATGGGTAAAGTTCGTGGGTATTTTCTGTGTCCCTCCCTCCCTGCTCTGTTTGTGCCCAGGCACACGTGACCTGTGAGCAAACACGGGCTGGGCTGGCTGGGAATGGGGGGAAACCAGAATGTGGGAAGACCCAAGGCTGGAGGAGCAGAGTGGCTGAGCAGGGCCTGGGGTCCAGGCACCCACAGTGTTACCCTGCTGTGGCTTTGCTCAGCCAGGTTCTGGGGAACCCCTCAAAGCCCCATGCCATGCTCTGCCCCAGGGCTGCACCCTCCCAGAGGGGTTTTCCCTGTGGCCAACTCCAACTGCCCAAGCCCCAACATGCCCCCATTTCATTTGCCACGTCACCAGCACTGCTCCTGATGGAGTTCCTGGTGCTGCCTGTTCCACCTGGGCCCACCTGGCATCACCCTCACACCTGAGACACAGGTGAGGGGGGTTTTGGGGAGGCAGGGAACCGGTCTCCTTCTTCACGGGGAATGGTGGTAAATGGAGGGATCCATGTGCATCTCCTCAGCTTTGGCATTTCCTCCTGTGCTCTTTGGCTCTGACTGATCTCCAGTAAATGTGATTCTGTAATTTGTGGTCAATTCTTGTGCCTATAAAACCTTCATGGCAACCCAAGGTCCCTCATCTCCCATCCATGACTTGCAGCGGAGCCACTCACAGCATTGGTGTACTCCTGGCTCCTCCAAGAGGAGTACACCAATGCTATGAGTGGCTCCAGGCCCCCACTTGCCTCCCGTGGTCCTGCCAACCCCTTGCCCAGCAGGGCTCAGCCTCTGGAACATAGTGCCTGCAGGCTGGGTCTGGCTCTGCCCACGTGGCTGTGCCTGAATCCCATCAATAATGCAGGAGAACAGGACACCACCCTGTGTAACCCCATCCCCTGCCCTGGCCAAAACCACAGCTCACAGGGCTGCTGCTGCTCCTGCTGAGGTGCCCATGGACGCTGGGGAGGTGAGTGCTGTGATGGGGCACATCCCAGGGCACTTTGGAGGGATCTGTCCCCTGACTTTGGTGTGCTGTGGCCAGGGGGCTGCCCAGCTCCCTGGGGGGCTCATCCAGCTCCTGGTGGATGCTGAGGGCATGGGGCAGGACCTGGATCATCCCCCCTGCATCCCAGGGCAGGACCTGGATCATTCCCCTCTATCCCAGCAGGCCGAGCAGGATGTCAGTGTGCGAGCGGCCGTGGGACTCCACCAGGCAGCAGGTAGAGCTCAGGACATCCCAGAGCCTTCACCTGAACCCCCACACCAGAAACCAGGGGACCAGGGTGGCAGCCACAGCCGTGGTGGCACTGGGGCCACTGGCCACGCCGGTGGGCCTGGGCTGATGGGGAGGGAGTGTCATCCCCACCCTGGTGGCTCTGAGCCACAGTGGGAGGGCTCAGGAATGATGTGAAGCCCCCAGGCTGCAAGGGGGGCAGGACAGAGGTGACCCCCACCCCACCTTACACTCAGTGTTTTCAGGGCTGGGGGAGAGCTGGGCAGATGGCATCGAGGACACCCTGCAGCTCCTCCTCGCTGGGAAGGAGCGCCAGGTGAGAGTGGCAGGGACAGGGACATCCCCCAGGAACAGGGACATCCAGGGTATGAGGGGCCCTGGGGGACCAGGTGGAAGCAGAGGGCTCTGTCCCCCTGCCTGCCACTCTGGGAACCCGGGTGGGTGCTGAGGGCTTGAGCTGGTCCTGCCTGACACCCCTGGGGACTCCCAGGGGTTCCCACACAGCAGGGGAAGGGAGGGGGTCTCCCCTCACCCCTGCCCATGCCAGACCCTCTGTGCCACCACTGCCATCTCCATCCCAGTGTGCCCAGTGCCTCCTTTAGTTGCACTGGTCGTGCTGGGGTGGGGGAGAGCTGAACATTATCCCTTGTGCCAGGAGAGCAGCTTGGCTGTCGACGGTGTTTTCCGCCTGGATGCAGGACAGGTACCGTGAGCCCCACAGTCCTCCTCTGCCAGGGACATGGGCTGGGACACCCAGGGGCACTGCCAGCTCCTCGGGGGTCACAGGCACTGCTGGGACACGGGGCTTGGTCCCATGGGGGTGTTCCTCATCCCTTCCCTGTTCCCTCTTGGTGGGAATGGATGCCATGCCATCCACGCCACGCTGTGCATCCACACTGTGCCTTCCATACTGGGATACCTGTGCTGGGATACCGGTGCCACATCATGTGTTGCCCTGCCCTGATCCATGCCAATGCCATCCCTGCTCTGCTGGACACGTCTCTCCTACCAGGAGAAGGTCCTGGAGTTGGCAAGACCCCAGCTGGCCCTGGTTCCCCTTGGCTACAGCGTGTCCCTGCTGCTGTGGGACCCCCACGGCCCTGGCACACAGCTGCCCTTCCAGAGTGTCATCTGGCAGGTGAGGGCTCAGGGGGGAGGTGACAGGGAGGGGTGGCAGCACAGCTGTGCTGGGCTCCTGGCTCACCCAATGGACCCCTATCCTGCCTGGTGTGAGACCAACAGCTCCCAGCTCGTCCCCAGGTGATTGACACCATCTTCCAAGAACTGGAGGCCTTGGGGGATGACAAACAGAGCCTGAAGACAGTCAGCCTGGTCCAGGTAGGGAAGGAGCATGGCAGGGTGTCATGGGATGAGGGTCCCATTCCCTCTCTGCCACTGCCAGACCCTGCTGTGCCAAGGGCACACATTGCTCTGTCCTGGCATCCAGTCCCATCATCCAGAGGCTGACAAGGGGCTGGAGATCTCTGGATCCCAGGTTTTCTAACCTCTTTCCAGAACCTGCCAGGTGTGGGGAGCCTTGCCTGCCCATGGAGCATCTCCCAGGCTCCAGCAGCATGGTGGGAACAGGGGAGCCCTCAAACCCCTTCCTGCCCATCTCATGGCTGAGCTTTTCCTGCTGGTCACTGATCCCTGTGGCCTGAAGGTCCCTCTGTGTGGCCTTGGTTGGCACAGGAGTGATGCCAGCTCCTGCCACCGGGCTGGGCCCTGCCCTTTGGCTCTGGGGTGCTGCCAGGGACCTGCCAAGCTGCACACAGGGTGTTCCCAGGACACTGCCCTTCCCTGGCCCCAGGGATGGAAAAGCTGGGAGTGACCCTGAGATCAGCCCTTCTCAGCCCTCACCTGTGCACAGCCCTGAGCAGCCCAGGCCCCTGGGGAGCACAGGATGCCAGCAGGCCCCTTTTCCTGCCCCCCTGCCAAACACAGCCCCCCTTTCCAGGTCAGCACCCATGACAAAGCCTGGGACCTGCTCCATCCTGATGGGCGAGCCCTGCAAGTGATGGATGTCACACCCCTGGGCCTGTAGGTACCTGGTACCCCGTGGTTGGGCAGGTGCTGCTGTGGGGCTGGAACCCCAGTGTCGAGGGTGGGGCCAGGCAGGGAACACGGTGCTCAGGGAAGCACATATCCCCCAGGGCATGCAGGGGGTGGGTGGACATGGCCCCCCTTGCTCACTCCTGTCCCCCTCTGCTTCCAGGATGGTGGAGGAGGCCACAGAAATCGCCGTGCCCGACGCCCAGGCTGCCATCAGTGCCTATGCCAGGGGGCTGGAGTGCCATCCCGGCGCTGCTCCAGGGGTGTGCAGGGCAGCCCCTCGCAGATGGGCGCTCGGTGCAGGGGTGAGGGATTTGGCAGGGAAGGATCGGGCCGTGGGGTTCTGGGGTGGCTCTGGAAGCTCTGCTCCCACACTGGCCTCTCCCCAGGGCCGGCAGCCTCTTCACTCTCACCGTGGAGCGGGAGCTGGAGGGTGGCAGGTGCCAGCGCTCGGCCCTCAGGATCCTGGTGTCCCCAGGAGCCACCGGGCCCTGCCCCGGGCTGTACGTACCGGGGCTGAGCTCCCCCTCTGGCTCCCCCTGTGCCTGCTTCCATACCCAGAGGTGAAGCAGGGACACCCCAACACCCCAGAGGGAGCCTGTAGCTTGTAGCCAAAGGGGTGTCCCCTCCCCTTGGGGCTGTGGGCTTCCTCCCAGTGTGACCAACCCATCCTTGGGCTCCCGAGGGTCAGGGCTCAGCCTGCCTGGCACGTGGATGCCAGTGCCATCCCGGGGTGCCTCTCACCCCACGTGCAGGGAAGCTGACACGGGCTGCCAGCCCTGGATCGTGGAGCGGCTGCTGCAGGGGAACAGCCTGACATTCCTGCTGCTGTGTGTGTCACTGCCAGGTAGTCCCTGGGACAGGGACACACTTCGGGGTGCCCCCTCCCTGATGTTTCCCCCCATCCCCTCCCCGTGCCTGGCACTCAGTCCCAGGAACACCCACAGTCACTGGAAGCTGGACACGCTCCACTCATTCCCATCATACCAGAACCCCCCGTGCTGGTGGCCCCCCACCACCCCTACCCAGGGCTTGCTGCTCTCCCAGACACCTCCAGGGAGGAGATCCTGGGAGCCCTGGGGCTGGCTGAGAGGGTGAAGGGGCTGGCCAAGACCATCTCTGCCACGCTCTGGGACCCTGCGGAGGAGATCACGGCGCGCCGGAGGGAGATCCGAGAGCTGCGGATGGAGCTCCTGGCTGGGACTGCTCTCCCAGAGCAGAGGACAGCTGTGGCCCAGCTGCGGAGAGCCCTGAGGGAGCTGCAGGTGTGGGAACGCCCC